GTGCCAATCAGAAGGCCCAGCACTGAGTTAAGTGCAGCCCTGCTCCCTGGTCTGTGTCAGGTGCAAGTTGAGGACACCCACTATTCCCAGAGGGAAGGAGGACCGGAGTAGAGGAGAGAAGAAATCCAGGAATCCAGGGATCCAGGAATGCACGGCAGGGTGGCTGCCGTGGCAGGTAGATGAAGTGAGGATCACATGGGCCGGCGTGGGGGTGATTAATGTGCGGGGGAACGCGCGGGAAGGAAAACAAGGCCATAAATCAGCCGCTGGGCCTCCATGCTAATTGTAATTGAAATGAATTTGTCTGGCCCACAGTGCAGGGATTTGCAATTGCTATTGACCAATAGGGCCAAAGCGGTCCAAAGGAAATGAAACAGGGAGTGCGGGAGTCTGTGCCAAGATCAATGCGTAACCCAGCACTGGTATTTGTGTCCCGTAAATAAAGGTGGTTTGGGGAAACAACATGTAACAGGTGAGTTATTGTGTTGGCTCCTGTGGTAACTTTGGTCAATGTGATGATGGAGCCGTTACCCGGGGTATAGGGTTCTCTGGCTTTTGGCCACAATTTAGATGTGAGCTGGAACTGTTTAAAAAATAATGTGAAATACACAGAGGTAAGGCTACAGAGGGGAATCACTCCTGAGATTGCTTCAGCCCGGCCTATTTGTTTTTTGTCCTACTGCCTCAAAATAAAGTGTGAGAAACTGCCCTGTGAGTGTAAGAAAACTTATTGGTTGCTATTAGGCATGAACAATTTGGGGAAAAAATGTAATTGCGATTTTTCTGCCAGACATTGCGGTTACGATTCGATTTACGTTTTTTTTTTTCAATATTCACTGCCCGTCTATTATTGACTGAAGCCGTATCAAGCAGCGCAGTGCAGATGAACCAGGCAGGAAGTCAGACACAGAACGGCATAGAGAATCCGGTTGATTTTCAAAATAAAACACCCATTGCAGACTCCGATGGTACATCAACAATAAACAAATAAACTAATTTAACTACATAGCCTACCTAACCATGCTAGAAGCACTAAAATCAAGGACAACTGAACAAATAAGCAAAACCAGACAGGCAAAACGCTCTTATTCTGAAATGCTCTATGTGGACATTTAGCGTTAGCCTGCAAAGAGCTGAACGGGCTCACAGAGACCAGTTAGCAATAGTACTAAATAAGTAGTATATTCTCTGTTATCCATAGAAATACACAAAATTACAAATTAACATGTTGACAAAGGTAAACGTTCCGCTGCTGAAACACACACAGTGTGAGTTGACACCGGACAAAGCCGCAGCACAGCAGCCGCCTGTGTCGGTTCGGCTGGCGCCATTATCCCACATTTTCCTCCAGTTTCGTTTGTAGTTGTAAAATGTACATGCCCCGTACCCACTCTGATTGGTGAGTCTGACCGTACCAGGAAGCGCATGGTGCTTGTGATTGGCGAGCAGATCTGTCACACAAGGATGACAACAGAATGAATTTTTAACTGCATGACTGTTTAAAATGGGTCAGATGCACTGTATAGTTAACCTAAGTTACATTTAATTGCTGTCTTCACGATTAGCTTATTGCGTTCTTCCCGAATCACAATTTCAATTTGAAAATGATTAATCATTCAGCCCTAGTTGCTATATAGCCTGTATGTAGCCTACTGTATTTTAAGACCACAGTGCTGTAAAACCTCATGCATTAAATGTTAAAGGAGTCAGCCTGTTTTTTTTGTTTATCCCAACCCCCATTCCACCTCCCACAGCCAAGCAGGTAGCTCCCCATTCATTAATTCAACCGTTCACTAACTAATTGGGACATGCACAGACCTGTCTGTGTGTGTTTCTGTGTGTGTGTAAAATAAATTTGAGGACAGAGTATAGGCCTGAACAAAAGACAAACAACAAAAGGTTTTGACACAGTATATTCTGTCCTGTTGAATCTATGAGCCTTTTAAATGATCTGTGTGAATGTAGCAATGCTAATCTACTTAATAAAAGCTGTTTGGTCAACACCGTCCTATAAACAAGGGAGTTTCTAAATTTTCAAGTCCCCAGTGCAGAGTTTCATTCTAAAATAAACCATTTACAGATACCCACTCCCACTGACTTCAAGCATGACAGGTAAACACGTTACGGGACTATTCATTTTTATGGACACAATCTTTTGTCTTTCAACTGAGGTAACAATATATTTATTATTAAATTAAACTCTAAATGAACAACATATCTTAAAGCTAAAAGCAAAAGTAGCCTTGGAAAGGAATACTTTGCTGGGTGTATTGAGCACCCAGCAGAGTATTCCCTGTTCTTCTCTCTCTGGGATTTGGTCTCCATGTTGTGATCCAATAACGTTCCCCCATGAGACTGCAGATAGCATGCCAGCCTTGCTGGGATGCTATCCGCAGGAAAATAACATCCTCTACTATTCATACACAGAGGAATACTGAGTTTCATAAGATACCCTCATAAAGACACGCTTTAATGAAACCATAACTACACATGTTACTCATTCACGCCATTTCCAGTATTGAACATGCAAACTCTCAATAAAAGACAGAGTAGGAACTGTAGAGTAGTGAGTGTTGCGTTACATATGGGGCGATTCTCTGCAACATGTTTGAAATTGCTTAGAGGATTTCACATGTGCTGCGACAAACTATACAACAAGCATTCACCCCCGCAATTTATAGCTCTTTGAAACCGGTGGGTGCAACGAACAACAGGAACAAAGCATTGTTTTTCAATTGTCTATGACAGTGTGGGCTGCACAGCACAGAGGCCTTGGCCCTAACTACTGGGGCTGTGTTTGCTAAACGAGCCAGAGCAACACCGCGGAGCCCACAAGGCTCCACGCTCTCTGATACGACCAGGGGCTTTTCTCTGCCTGCACACTCCCCCCCACTACCTTCCCCCCATCCTTCCCCTCCGTCAGGAATCTATATTTCATAAGCGAGCTGTGGAGCTCCAGTGCCCAATTATCAGTAGATAAGGCGCAGGAAGCCCTGGAGCGCCGGCACGGCTATTTAGACGGGGAGGGGGGAAGGAGCTGGAGAACGAAAGGCAGGCAGGCAGGCAGGCAGGCAGGCAGGGACCCAACCCCCCAGGGGCACTTCGCCCTCACCACGCTATTTTTTTCCTCCTCCTCCTCTTTTTTTTTTTTTCTCTCCTTCGCTGACAGCCACCACCCACCCCTCCCTTTACCTTAGCGGCAGGGTTCAATTAGTGCCGGCGGCGGCTAGCACCCGCAGCCCTGCTCAACCCGGGAGCTGAATCCGCTATCAGCACACACCAACAACACGCAAAGCAGAGTCAAACTAGCAAACTGACATCAAGGCAAGTTCTACATTGGTCTGAAACATACAAGCACATGCACATGTACGAATGCGCACATACACAACCTGAGTACTATAGTCTCTCAGCCATGAGCACATGAGCATCAGCACAACATGGTCAGCCATGTACAACTTTAAGTAAAACTCAGGTAAACCTCTGCTTTTTTCCTGAAACCACAAAAGGGAGGCAAGGATGATTTCACTGCTAGCTTTAAAACCACTTTACCTGCACAGAGATACATTACTTATATTCATTGTTACAGTTTAGAATCACGTAAGACTAATCCTGTGGGTAATACTTTGAACTATACTTTGACCAGCTGCAAAATCTACGGAAAGTATTTCCTGTTATTTCACCATTTCTCAGATATGTTGTTGCTGCCTCCCTCAGACTGGTACATTTAGTCAAGACTTTTCACACCCTTCCACGGCCCCGGACCTCTATTAGCGAGGGGGTAAAACTCGATGTGCCTCTCACATTTTCAAACCCCTACAAAAAAAAAATAGAAAACGCACTCCAACCACCAATGCTGAGCAAGGTCGGCCAGGGGTCAGGCACAGCTCACGGATACGAGACAGATATCGATTCGCTGGGACAGGCCGCGAGCACACATACACACACACATACACTTTCTTTCCCCTCCTCTCTTTCTCTATAGTCACAGCGCAGGCATCAGCCAATAGATCAGCCAGGGGCAGGAAACCGCCTGGGTCAGAGGGGACAGTGTGTGTGTGTGTGTGTTTGTGTGGATGTGTGAGATGATAAGACTAACAGCCTGCTGAAAGCAGCCCTCACCCAAAGCTCCCCAGGACCTTCAGGCTGTGCCGATCCACCTCGAAGCAGAAAAGAAAAAGAAAATAGCTCTGGCCAAACATTCATGGAGTATTCATCTTACTGCCACTGATGAACATGCACACACACGCACAAGCATACTCTCAGCACTCTTTGGCCAGTGTTTATGATCTTCTGTAAGCGCCACACAAGTCGTTGTTTGTCAGCCTTTCTATCAGTTGGACGTACACTTGTCACTGCAGGAGGGTGTATAGGGGTGTGTTGTTGTTGCCTTGTTGCCTGTGTTAGGGGAGCCGCCAATGGCAAAAAGAGTGGGGTAAGACCAAGGCGAGGCTTCATCCGCCCCGGGTAGGCTGGAGGCTCAGCTGGAATCATGCGCATCTACTATCGGTGTCGAATGGGTCGTCGTGTGTGCACGTGCCATGTATGATTGCTGAGCATGAGTGAATAAGTTAAGTGTATGTCTGAGTGTGTGTGTGTGTGTGCTTAAATGTGCGTCTGTACTCTATATGTGAGAGAAAGTCAGGGGGCAGTGAAGCGGAGGAGGGCAGGCAATGCTCCCAGGCATAGAAAACAGGCCAACTCCATCTCCCACTATGGAGAGCTTCAAAGAGATGGGGTAGTAAAACTAGAAATGGTAGAGTATGCCAGGTTATATCAGTAAAGTTGTGTGAGATGAGCTGTTATGGTCTATTCAAACTAGACCAACAACTGGAACACACACCAACTCTTACAATCGCATATTTATTTTTTTAAAAGGCACACATCCTAGATCTATCTATCATATTTGAATCTTTTTCTGCATTTAGTTTCCACATGAGAATGGAAGGTTTGGCCTCTTTTGATGATGCAGGATGCACAAACAAGAAAGAAATCATTTTCTCTTCCTCATAGCTTTTTTATTCACCCCTGCCACAGAGTCATAAGTCAGGTAGATGTGACAGAGAGAGAGAAGGAAACAACCCAGAGACAAAAGATTCAGAGATACAGACAGATAGAGAAGACAGCAAGACAGTCGGGGGGTGGGGGGCGAACTTCCCCCGCTGACGCTCTTGTTCCACGGTGAGAATCCCCCGGCCAGTAGCCTCAGACATCTGGTTCCAGTTAGCTCTCAGCGCTTTGACGCGTTTCCTGTGCTGCTGCTCCACACAGCCATGGCCACGACACAGCCCTCCCAACGCCACGACAGCCAAACCCCTCTGGAGATAATGTGCTGTAACTCGCGCACGCACACACACACACCCAAATACACAGTCAACCACATGTCTATTGTGTGTTGGACCAGGCCAGAGGAGGTGGAGGCTGTATTCTGATATTCATTCATAACATCCTGTTGTTTAGTTTAGCTAAAAAGCTCAGAGACCTCAAAGTATGTTACAGATCTAAAAGAACAAGACTCAGGGATAGTGACATCATAACCAGAGTTGCACTACTTATCTGTGACATTTCCAAATAAATGTCTGTTGATGCCATCATTCTATAACAGAGAAGACAGTGATACTCAATTCATGAAAGCTATTTACAGTAACCGCTTCCATGTACGAATGCTCTGGCAAAGAGGAAGTGATATGTTTTATTTCAGCAGCTACGACAGAAAAACAAGAACAGGGAAACAGATCGATTGTTCAGAGAAAGGCAAGAAAATGTGAAATCCAAACTTAGATTGAACAGAAGTAGACTGACAAGATGGAAATCACTCAAAGATGTGATCTCTATTCTTTATGGACTGGCACATTTTACTATCAGTTATTAGTCTACATAAACCTCATTCACAGCAGACATTTCATCTTGTCTAAGCAGGAAGCGCATAGGTGTTAATAACATTAACAATGGCTCAGTTCCATTATGTGTCCCAGTAAGCCATGACAGTGAGCCAGCATGCCCAATACAAGGACACTGAAACTGGGTCACCTAAATTAAATGCAGTCATTATTTGGGTTATTAATTACACCTCTTTCCTGCTACAACAAGTGAAAATGTCTGCTGTGAAAAATCCCTGTGGAATAACACAGAACTGTTGATCCAGAATGACGAGGGTTATCATTTTAACATTGCAGATCTCTGGTCTGAAATTCTGATACAGACCTTTTGTGCCAGGTCCTTTTGGCAGCATTTTTATTCTTTTGTAAAAAAATTCTGCTTTTCTTACTCCTACAGGGTGCATGGCAATTTTCTGTTTAAGAGTCCTCTTTCGAAAAGACCAATGAAAACGCACTCTTTTTAAAAAAGAATTTAATTTCTACAGTACTGGTTTTGTTTTGAATATTTTGAAAATAAAAAACTTCCATGAGTGACATTAATATATTGTTTAAATCATTTTTAGATGTCTTGTAAAGCAATATGTTACTTTAGGACAATATTCAAATAGAAGAGATGTACATGTATGTCTGACAGGCAGTGGGATGGTTTGTGAATTACCTCTCAGAAAGGTCTTAATGTGTCCAATTTGATGGGCTCACTTCTAACTGGCTAATCATTTGTAATGGTGTACCCCAGGGCTCTGTCTTAGGTCCACTGTTGTTATCAATCTATATCAATAGTTTAGGTCAAAATTTGGACTGAGCCATCCTTCATTTCTAATTGTGCTGGCTCCTTCATTAGCGAGGCTGTGGCTAAATGTCATGCTGTTTTTAATATTATTCAGATTAAGCTTTCATAACTAAAGCTGGTTTTAATGCTGATAAAAATACAGTAGAAGAAGCAGCCTGTGAACACTTTGGATATTATTAGTGCTCAGGGAAAGAAATTAGATGTTGTCTCCAGTTATAAATATCGAGATATTTGGCTTGATGACAGCCTTTCTTTTAAAACCCAGGTTGATAATATTCTTAAAAAGCTGAGACTGAAGCTAGGATTGTATTTCAGTAACAAGTCCTGTTTCTCATTTGAAGCCAGAAAAAGACTTATTTATGCTATTCAACAGTTATTGATCATGGGGATTAGGGCTGTCCCCGACTAAGGATTTACATAGTTGAATCAGAATTGTCAAATCTTGCCTATTGTCAAATCAGTTTATGTTTGTGTGCAGTGATTGCCAGCAGTGGGAGGGGGAGGGGGCACGGTAGGTCTGCTTTAATATTGAATATTGATAAGCTGCAGTTTCTATTCATTAGTCTCTGTAACTTACACTGTACATTTTCAGCTAAACTGAGGCTTATTGTTGATAATTTTCTCTCTGCTCTGCTTGCCTGCCATTCATCAGTCTTGTGCAGAGTTTGGGTGCGTGCTGTGCATACACGCTACGCCTACACATGCGCACTGAGCCCCATTCTTTAAGGGTAATTTTGGATTTATTTACGCACTTTAAAAACATTTATTAAAAGCTTTTTTTTCTTTTTACATGTTTATTTACAGTATAGTATGTTTAAAATTATATTGTAATTATATTGTGCTGTATACTAATTTATTTGGAGAAAACTAGTAGTTCTATGTAAAATCAGACGTTGGGCACCCACATATCGCCAAACTGGCATAATCCTCATTTTGCTGCGAAGCTTCAATTGTGTGTCGAATCAGACTCCGCCCATTGAAGCATCAAATCTTCAACTATTCTGGGTCAGCCCTAGTGGGGATCTGATATAGATCATTCATCTCACAGTGCACTGAGATATGTTAGAAAGTGTAAAGCCCTCACTCATCCTTGTACACTTTACTCCAGGGCTGGTTGGCCATCTCTGACCTTTCATTGACTCAAATCATTAGTGCTTGTTAATTTACAAAGTCATTCCGGGTAAACTCCTCTCATACATTTTCACCTTGATTGCGCAGAAATCTGGCTGAAGTTATCACTTGGGACCACAAGATGTGGTCTTATCTAAATAATTGAAACTCTATGTCAGATTTTAAAACTCTTATAAGTGCAAGTGCTTAATTATTTTTTGATTGGTACTTGTCACTGTGCGTAGGTATTTTAAATTTAGTGTAATTATTGACATGTGTGGTTATTATTGTTGTAGGCTATGTAATAGTTTTTATGCTGCTGTCTTGGCCAGGTCTCCCTTGTAAAAGAAATTGTTGATATCAACGGGGCTTTCCCGGTTAAATTATGATTAAATAAACATTTAAAAATAAAACTATGGAGTCTGTTCTGGCAGGAAATGTGTGGTTATTTCTATGAATTTCATCTCACACCTGCACTGTATGAAAAGCTGCAGATTACATGAGTCAAGCATTTTTAGCTAAGATAACAGTCTGTCAAATAATTAGCTGTAACTTTAACTAAAATGTCATAGTATTGTAACAAAAAAGGATGTCACTTTATACAATCCACTGTGAGAGTTGGACTATGACAGTAGCCGTGTGTATGACATTGTGCAGCAAATGTCTGCTACTGTTTACCTTCCGTACCTCAGCGGCACTGAGGCAAATACCTGCCATCTGCATTGATATGGCAATAAAGTACTGAAGCTTGAGTCTGATGCACAGTAATAAGGATGCTCTGAGGCATACACTGTATTTTGACCTGTCATTTTGGGGAACTAACAGCACAGCATCTCATGTCACTCACACTGTGGAAGACTGTAACGTTTCACTGCAACTACCCACTAAATCAACCACAAAGCCTTTCAGTGAGGTGATTCCCTGTGTGGGGGAGTGGAAAAGGGTGACCCCAGAATGGAGAAATACATATGAGAGGTACAAAAAACAACAACAAAAAAAAACCAACATGAGCCCACACAACCCTGCTGCTCAGCAGAGGAACACGGTAACCTCGTGGGCCACTCCGGGGGTTACGGATAACGAAAGTGAGAAAGAGGGGGTGAGAGGAGAGAGAGAAACAAAAGTGCAATGAAGAGGAGGTGAAGAGACAGGAAGGAGCTTCTCAAAGGCTTTCCTGCGTTGGAGGGACTCCCTACAACAGTACAAAGAGTATTCTTTGAAATCATAGAGAGACTGGAAATTTACTAACCTCGTATTCACCTACTTCAATACAAAGGCCATACTAGTTCACGTCTAAATTTACTTGTGGTATGCTATAGGTCTGAAATATTGACATACGGCAAATCTATACAATTCAATCTTTCCTTAGAGTTTTATGACAGAAATTTATATAAAGAAATGAACAACAATAATGCTATTCTTTTCCATTTCTCTCAACTACCAGGAAACAATAATGTATAAACACTTATCTATCCAACTTAAATTTAGGTTAAAAAAATGTTTATTTTTTTAGACTCAAAAAGGCCCACTCTAATTGCTCCCAATCGGGGGTGAGCACGAGCAAACGAGGACAAATGAAAGTTTAAGGAGGCAGTATTGATTTGTGTGGAGGTCAGGGGTAGGTCACCCCTATCAGAGAATCAACAAACAGCCGCCAGCACCGTCCTCAGCTAAGCCAATCACCTTCTGACCTGTACCACCGTTACCATGGCAAATGACCCAGAACCAGACAGACCATATACTCGGCTCCTTACTGAGTGAAAGCAGCAAAGTAGAGCGCAGCAAAGATGGTGGAGCTACAACAAATCCTTAACTAAAAGCTCTCAATTATGCTGTCATGCTTGGCATAAGCTTTGTTTTTTTAATCTAAAATCTCTCTTCTGCATCACCCTCTAGAGCGCTGGGGTAATTATATATTACTACTTATTGACTTTCAGTGCAATGATACTGTAATGATTTGATCTATTGTGTTATTCTATAACAAAATTCAGCTGTACAAATAGATGATTCCAACTAAACTGTAAAACTGCTACAAATGTTTTTGTTTTACGTGTTTAAAGAGTCTTTTTTGATGTAAAGCTTTACAGTGGAACACACTTCATTGCAATTAACATCAATTAAAATATTTTACATGTCATTTAGCATACGTTTTTTTAACTCCATCTGAAAATATATTTTCACTATTATTGTGATACTGATTTCAACTACCTAGCCAAATCACTCCCATGTAAAGCCCCTTCCCATGATCATCTTTTTCTGGCCATCTTGGAGGATGAACATCAGATTCTTGCCTTCATCCAGTCATTCCATCCTTCCCCTCCTACTCCTCCCTTCATCCCTTTCCTGGCCCTTACACCCCTCCCTCCCTCAGAGGCAGGCAGGCAGGCAGGCAGGCGGTGATGGTAACCAAGCCTCTGGCAGTGTGTTCCTATCCTGCAGGAGCCCTCAGGTTCCAACCTGTCAATATCCCAGGCAGCGTCTTGGCTCTGCTGTGGCTCAGTTAACCTCCTCACCCACTTGCAACCGCACAAGGGGCTCCTGTCCTTCTGCCAG